GACCTTGAAAAATATTCAAGGTCAAGGGTCATAATGCAATTGACTCCATGCTTCTATGACTTATAGTTTTCAAGTTATAAGGTTTAATAATAAGTACAAAGAAGTTAAAGGGCAATAACTCATATAAGGGTCATGTGATCCTTTCGCACTTATACAGTGAAGTTAGGCGTAAAGACCCTTAAGACATTTGTGAAGATTTGGTGACTCTTCAGTCTATAGCTTCGGAGGAGTAGCGAAAATAGGCTTTTCACAAAAGGGGCAATAACTTTTAAAAGGGTTAATGTTAGGGGACAAGAATGATATCTTTGAAATAGTTTTAAAAGTACATAGTAATGATGCATATACATTAAGTATATGTTGAAAGACAAAAGAGAAACAAAAAGAGCTAAATTTCTCATTTTTGGAATGACCTTGACCTTTGACCTTGACATGAATTTTAAGGTCAAAGGTCAATGAATCTTATGCAGTTGGTCCCATGTCTCTACGACTTCTCGTTTTGAAAATGTTTAATTATTTGTAAAATATAAAAAGTTTCAGGGGCAATAACTCATTGAAGGGGTCATGAATACTTTTGCAATGAAGGATTTAAGGTTTTCTTAATTAGTCTAAGACATTGGTGAAGGTTTCATTCCTCTACGATTTACGGTTTCGGAGGAGTAGCAATAACAAATATTTTTGCGAAAGGGGCGGGAACTCCAAAAGGGGTCGAAGTTCATATACGCAGGGTCAAACGAAAAAATCATTTAAGGAGTACATTCTTATGAACTATAAACCTCTTCAATAACTTGTGAAACAAAAAACCATTCGGCGGAAAAATAATAAAAATAATAATAACTAGGAGACTTATTGTTCACAGAACAATAAGAGGTCTTTCCACCTTCTTTGAATTTTAAATTTGTTTTATACCTGACTCCTAAAAATTAAATTCCATGAAAAGAAACCAGAACTCTCTTAAAGCATAGAAAAAATGAAAATTAAAAACAGAAAATCAATTACCTTGGCCTTTGACTTTGAAAAAATATTCAAGGTCAAAGGTCAAGGGTCACAATGCAGTTGCCCCCATGTTTCTATGACTTATAGTTTTCAAGTTATAAGGTTTAATAGTAAGTACAAAAAAATTAAAGGGCAATAACTCATATAAGGGGTCATCAGATCCTTTTGCTTTTATACAGTGAAGTAAGGCCTAAAGACCCTTAAGATATAAGTGAAGGTTTGGTGTCTTAACAGTCTACGGTTTCGGAGGAGTAGCGATAACAAGGTTTTTCGCACAAGGGGCAATAACTTTTAAAAGGGTTAATATTAGGGGACAAGAGTGATATCTTTGAAACAGTTTTAAGAGTACATATTAATGATGCATAGATATTAAGTATATGTTAAAAGACAAAAGAGATATAAAAAGAAATAAATTTTCCATTTTTGGAATGACCTTGACCTTTGACCTTTACATGAATTTTAAGGTCAAAGGTCAATGAATCTTATGCAGTTGGTCCCATGTCTCTACGACTTGTTGTTTTCAAAATTTTTAATTATTTGTAATATTCAAAAAGTTTCAGGGGCAATAACTCATTGAAGGTGTCACCAAATGCTTTTGCAATGAATAGATTGAAGAGTCCCCATAATTAGGCAAAGCCATTTGTGAAGGTTTCATACCTTTACGGTTTACGGTTTCAAAGGAGTAGCGATAACAAGGGTTTTTAGCACAAGGGGCAACAACTTTTAAAAGGGTCAATCTTAGGGGCCAAGATTTATATCTTCTAAAGAGTTTCAAAAGTACATATTAAAGACATAAGATAAATCGTATATATTTAAGGACATAAGAGCTATTAAGAGAAATTTATTTCTCATATTTGGAATGACCTTGACCTTTGACCTTGAAATGAATTTGAAGGCAAAAGGTCATTGAATGTTATGCAGTTGTTTCATGTCTCTACGACTTTTCGTTTTGAAAATTTTTAATTTTCTGTAAAATTTATAAACTTTCAGGGGCAGTTACTCATTGAAGGGGTCAAAGAAAACTTTCGCAATGAATAGATTGAAAAGTCTCCTAAATTAGTTGAAGACAATGGTGAAGGTTTTATATCTCTACGGTTTACGGTTTCTGAGGAGTAGCGATAACAAGCTTTACAGTGAAAGGGGCAATAACTGCATAAGGGGTCGAAGTTAAAACATGGGGGGTCATTTTTCGGAATAATTTTAAATATCCAGTATCATGAACTATAAAGTTTTTCGATAAGTCTTAAGGTGTCAAAACATAAGGTGAGAAATAGAATAATAAAAAACAGAAGCATTTCAAGAGGTCTTTCCACAGAAAGGTGGAAAGACCTAATAAACAGAACAATTTCAATAGGTCTTTCCACGGAAAGGTGGAAAGACCTAAATAGAACACAGTGTGTTAGATGGAATGGTTCTCAGTCAGAGAAATAGATATATCAACTATAGGCGTTCCTCAAGGATCAATACTTGGGTCATTGTTTTTCATCCTTTATTTCAATGACTACCCAGTCTAATTAAAACACTCAGCAGCTCACATGTATGCTGATGATACAACTCAGGATGTCTCAGATAAGTGTATCAATGTTATTAAAAAAAATTGCATAGCATTCTTATCAATACGCTAGATTGGATGGAGAAAAACAAGTTAATAATCAATCATCAAAAAAAAAAAATCAGTGCATGTTAATTGGTACGGAACAAAGTTTGAGAAACTGTAGGAATTTATGTATTAAAGTGGATAGTATTGTGATTGAAAGTGTTGTGCGAAACTACTTGGTGTTTACATCGACAGGTGCCTTACATGGTCTGATCACGTTGAAATTTAACAAAACAACTTGCTTTCAAAATAGATGTTTTGTCTAGATTAAGATCGTCATCTAGGTTATTGTTAAATTTTTTTAATACAATTGTTTTTCCCAATTTTCATTATTGTTGTACTGTATGGGGCAATATGAAAACAAAGAAGGTCTTAACAAACCATGTAAACTCCAAAAGCGAGCTGCTAGAATGATTTTAAACACAACTTTTTAAACACCTACATCGGAAATGTTTCTACAACTGAGATGATTGCCAATTAATTATTAACTTATGTATAGAAATGTCATCATTGTTTTTAAAGTTCTAAACGGATAAACTTTTACATTTTTCTAAATTTGTACATGAAATAAGCAATAGATCTACGAGACTAAGTCAAAGCAATTCATTATGTATTCCGAGGGCTAAAACAAAATATTATAGATCTTGTGCAATTTACGGTTCCCAGCCATGGAATGAATTGCCAGAATTTTTAAAGAATTGTCCATCATTGCAAAGTTTTAAATCAGCATATATAAGAAATTACTTCCAGTCTACAAACTAAAATGCAAAACAATTAGATTATACTTCTGATTTTCCTTTAGACGCATCTTTGATAAACCATGTGTAAATATTAATTAATATATATATTGTACTTGCTTTATATTTATATGTTTCTGTACATAATCTTCTGTCTGTACAAATGTTTTCAGTGTTTATCAACATTGTCATTACATCCGGAGGGAAAGGCCGTCCCTAGTTTTCTAATCAAAATTCTTCTCATTGTTTACGGAAAGGTGTACTCAGTGACGGACTATTTAATTTTGTGTGGTGATAAATCTTTTCGAGAATTCTAACTTTCTTTGATAAAATAGATTGATCAGGTAAATTAAAATGTTTGTATAAAAGCTGCTGACCACCATGATTTATTTGAAATCGATGACCTGATATTCTTTTGTTAAGTAATTTCTTGGTTTCATCGACATAAACAAGTCCACACAGATTACATTCTATGCCATAGAACACATTAGAAGATTTGGTATAGAAGCTCTGTGAAGTAAGATTAAAAAATGTTTTTAGATTATAGACACTTTCCTAAGCACATTCTTGTCACACTTTTTTAATGCATTGAAATTCTAAACACGTTGAATTTCATCACGTGTAACGGAAAGTGTTCAGAGGCTAAACACTTACATGTTTAGATTTTAAACACTTTACAAAACATGTTATGATACATGTTTACAAATTAAACGCATGAATGTTTTCATTGTCTTCCTGCAAGATAACTGAAAATATAATGAATATAATGAAGCTTGAAAATTAAATCTTTTCATGCAACAATTTTCATTATATGCCTCTCAATGTGCTCCAAGGTTCTTTGAACTTTTCAGAAATGTCTAATTAAAAGTAGAAATGTTAATCCCGAAACAAAATTTTTATTAACATGTTTATTAACATGATATTAAATTAGAAGCGATTTATGGTGCTCTGCAAAGAACCTTGAAGCACATTGAGAGGCATATGATGAAAATTGTTGCATGAAAATATTTAATTTTCAAGCTAAATTTAAAGATTTTTTGAATTAATTCTAAATTAAAGAGTTGTCCTTCCTGGCTGAGGGTTGGAGTCGCTTAAAGAATTGTCATTTGCTTCATTTCAAAATTCAGAGGCAGAGCATACATTTTATATCAGTATGATTCAAATATGAACCACAATTCAAATGATTGTGTACATGTAAGAGAACCTTTCTGTCTTTCATTAGGTCATGAAACACCTTATCCTGAGAAATTAATGTATCTACATATTTTTTCTTCTTCTGTAAGCCGACCGCATGGCAAAGTGGTAAGAACGTCTGCTCTAGAGGCGCAAAGTAAGTAGTTGATTCTTACGTCGCGGGTTTAAATCCCAATTTTGAGCGTGGAGACCGATCCTTCGGATGAGACCGCATAAACCGATGTCCCGTGTCGTAGAAGTTGCTGGCACGAAAAATATTCCGCCCACTCAATGGCCTTGAGTGCCGAGTATAGGACAAAATTTGCAGCCTTCCAGCGGCAAGTTGTGGCATCTCCATATGCGTGAAAAATTCTCGAGAGGGACGTTAAACAACATAAACAATCAATCAATCTTCTTCTGTTATTCAAAGGGAGCATCTGTTTTAATCTAGAGGCCATCTGTTGTAATAAAAACACTGATCATTTTATTTTCATCATTAGTTCCTCCTTCTTACGACAATGTTACCAATCCTAGTTCCCTACCTTCCTTTTCACATGGGAACCAGTACAACCAGTATCAGCCGCCAGCTGGCGCTACAGGACAGTATCTGGGTTACCAATATCCTCCCCAGGATAGTTCCCCTGGTCCTTATCCTGATCAACAAGTCATGGGTGTTCCACAAGGATTGACTCACAATGCAGCGGTAAGACGTAATCTGAGGAAATAAGAGAAAACATTATACATGTAGACACAGATCTGTCTTTAGCTAAAGTTAGATTTTTATTTTAAAAAAAGTACATGATAGATAAGTTTTTTTAAAAAGCCATAGAATAAACGTTTTATTGACTTCTTGCATCCTTTTCATATACTTAATTGAGCCATAAATTTAATTGAGCTGTATAATAAACAAATCTCCACTACGACGTCATCAACTGGTGTTTTATTTTTGAAATGTATAATTGTTTGTATGAATAATTGAAGTGTTCAAACAATACCATGGGTAAAATTAATTCTTTTTTTGGTAAAAAAAAACATTACTCGGTCATGCAAAATGCTGCTTAAATCCTTTAGCATGAAACCTTGCTTAACTTTCTACATTTCTACATATTAGGTGAGTTAGATATCTGGATGTAGTCAAAAAGTTAAATAGATAACCATACAAAAAGTCATATATCTTCGATTTCCTTTTAGGTCACTCAGCCTGTTACTGCTTTCATGATGATTACACCGCTCGCCAGAGAGGGTTACATGATACCGGCCATTCTTTCTTGTGTCTGTTTTTTTCCACTTGGAATTTTTGCCATTTTGGCAGCTCGCAAGGTAATTTAAAGAAAAGGACATAAGCGTTTTTTCAGTAATGTTTGCATTTATAGGGGGAAAAAATTAAGACGAGTGGAAATTTCTCAGTCATGAATAAAGTAGAAGCAGCTGTATGTGTTATTATGTCACCTGAGTAAACTCAGGTGACCTATTGCAATCCGTTTTCGTCCGTCGTCTTGTGTCGTGCGTTAACATTTGAACATTTTTAGCTTCTCCTCTGCAGCCACTGAACCAATTTTAACCAAAATTTGCACAAAGCATCTAAGTGTGAAGGGGAACAAAAATTATGAATTTCATGATCCCTGCCTCCCTGGGGCCTGAGGGATGGGGCCAAAACCATTAAAATTAATGCAATCTTTAAAAATCTTCTTTACTCCTGGACATCAAGCAGTAAAACTATTTGCATGATTATAATCAGCATTGAGTCTTCTACCAAAATTGTGAAATTCATGGCCCTGGGGTCAGGGTTTCAGTGCTAGGGCGTGGCTAAATAAGTATATTGTGAAAATGCATAATTTCTTTGAAAATCTTCTTCTCTGCCCCTTGGTATTTAATAAACCAACTAAGTACATAGTTATGATTAGCAAGGGTGCCTCTACCAAAATTGTGAATTTCATATCCCCGGGGTCAGGGTTCTGGTGTTAGGACGGAGCCTCTATTGATTATACAGTGAAAATGCATGAAATCTTTGAAAATCTTCTTCTCTGCTCCTGTGTATTACATAAACTAAGTACGTGCATAGTTATGATGAGCAAGAGTGTCTCTTTCAAATTTGTGAATTTTATGTCCCCAGGTAAGGGGTTCTAGTGTTAGGTCGGGGTTCTATTGATTATATAGTGAAATACATTAAATCTTTGAAAATCTTCTTCTCTGCTCCTTGGTATTAAATGGGGACCTATGTCGTTCTATATCAAAGCAGCGTTATGTGACGTCACAATAGCGACGTTTGTTTTTTCCCCGCTGACTTATTAAAGAATAACGAACTACATAGTTTACAAAAAGAAAATTTTTTCATGCAATTATAACAGTTTTATTTGATTTATGGAGTTTGTTAACATTAGAATTTTCTTCCTTTGGTTGATAATTTATAGCAATTTTAGTTGTGAAGAAATACGTTCGTGATGTGCTGATATAAAAATGCAAAAAAATATAAGATAAAATTCAGCAAAGACAGCGGCATCCGGGAAATATGTTTAATTTTATGAATACCATTAATTGTATTTAATTTCTGGATAAAAAATGTACTTGTACCTATATTTACTATTTGTGTATGTAGATTGTATTGTATAAAGTCATTCCTAGGTTCTATTAGGTGTTGGTTGTTGATGGGGAAAGGGGGGCATAATGATTAGAATGAAGAAGAAAAGAGTTCTATGTTTAAATTATTTCATATCAAAACAAAAAACTCGTTTTTTGCAAAATAGTTTTATATTCAGATGTTTGTCACTGCTAACTTACCTTTGTTTTAGTGCAGAAAGGTCAATATTTATGACAGAAGAGTACACAAATAAAAGAAAACGTCATATTTCTCGTTTATTTTATCATAAAGGTATACTTTTTTCTTTGTTAAATTAAAAAGAGGGGTCATTTATTTAAAAAAAATATGAATAACAACATTTTCACACAAAGACTTTTTAAGATATTACCTGTTATGCATGTAGGAATTGTAAAAAAATACGACAGGAAAAACGGGGTGATACTTACATTGTGCTCCTTTATAATTTTTCATGCGAGATGAATTACAATGAATTTGCCTTCATTTAAAGATACAAGTCATATAAATTAAATACAAGTTGATTTCGAATGTGATTTGACATTTTTGGTTCTTTTTAGCGCATATTTGGAGTAGAACAATAATGTCTGAAAATAATCTATTTTTAGCATTTTACACTGTTTTTGCACGTGCTCCTGTGTAAGAATAAGCATATAAAGGTATTGTTTTTCATACCTAAAAATTAAAAACAAGTGGTCTGGAACGGGATGTCAAAGTTTTGAAAATTTCACACAAAAACTTTTCGGACATAGGTCCCCCCTTAAGCAGATAAACTACCTATGTAGTTATGATGAGCAAGGACCCTTGTCTTCCAGAATTGTGAATTTCAAGGCATAAGGGTCAGGGGTACCATAGAGAGGGGGGCTGTACATATGTACTGGTAAATAATAAATTGTTTTAAATCTGCTTCTTGGTAATAATCAAATATTTTGAAAAGCAAGGACGCCTTTTCAAAAATTGTGGATCTAGGCCTAAGGGTCAGGGATTCATATGTGGTAGGGGCACTACTGATTACTTCTGAATATTACTAGTTGAAATGCATTTCGAGTTCCCCTACCCTGCCTGTGGGTATTAAGTAACTAAACTAAGCAACTGCTAAGTGTATTTAATGATGATCAATGTTGCCTCTTTCAAAATTGTGAATGCCATAGCATCTGGCTTAAAACATGAAAAAAAATTCAAACACTGGAATATTATTACGTAATGCTCAGATAACTTACATGTATAAGGCCTATGGGCTTTTTGTTGTATTCATATTGCATGTATTTGAGTGTAACATTGAAAATTTTCACACCAAACGTGATCTTTATCTCAACAGGATACAGTCAAATACTAAAATTCAGCTAAATATCTGCAAGCGTTTAGAAAAAAAAATGCGGAAAACAAAGTGGGACAGACTGACAGACAGACAGGGACAGCTAGATGGACGGACGGACGCCTAGACAAAAAGACAGCTAGACAGACAGACTGACTGACGAACAGACGCAGAGGAAACCTATAGTTCCCTCCGGTTTCATCGGTAGGATACTAATAAATAATGCATGTTTTTGTACATCGGCGCACGAAAGGAAGCGTACTGTAATTAACGTCTCTTATAACGTCGTGATCTCTTTTTCTGCTTCACACACGTCTGTTAACATATTCAATAATTATCTTCAAAGTGAAAGGCCACTCTTGACTGAGGAACTTATTCAAATTCACGACTATCATTTTTTTAAAGGCAGTTGAAATCGTCCTACATTGTCGGCATAAGAGACTGCTCTCTTTACACATTGTTTCTACTACCGGTATAGAGGAAAAACTCTCGATTGTATTATGTATTTCATGCCTTTAAACAATTACTTCTTTTAAAAAATTAGTATGCAATGCCACTTCTGTACCAATTTTCCCTATCTTTGATGTATATTAATCATATCCAAAACAATTCATTACATCTCCGTGGGTCGTTTACGCGTTTGACGACGTCATTTTCAATTCCGACTCCACTTTAGAAATCATGACATCAATCGTCTGTATTTAATGCTATTTAGATTAAATTTTGATTATTAAACTTTTGATTCTGATTTCACTGATTTAAATTTAAGTTCAATGTTTTACATTGTACTAAAGAAATAAAAGCAATTGTTATAGTGATATGTGTTAATTATTCCAAATTGTGTTCGTGCGACGACAGGCTTCATCGGCCTATATATAAATCGTCTTAATATTATAAATATGAAAGATATATACTTAAGAATTTACAATTTTAATGAACGTTAAATATATTATGTCCATGCAAAATTTGGTTAGTATTAGTTGCATTTCATTAGCATTACCTACGACTTTTTAGGACAACCCTCGTACATGGTTACTGTCTTGAAATAAAAGCGATATTTGGGCAAGGGTAAGAAAACGTGATAAAGGGCGAGGCTTGCCAACCCCTCTTACATTTTCACTCGAGCCCAAATATTGCTTATATTTCAAGAGAGTAACAATGCATTTTGTTTATCCAGCAAATGATATTTACATCTGACCGTCCAAAACAAGCTATTTTCAACGGATTTAGGCACATCTCTGCAGTTGAAACTATGACGCTATGGCGTAATCATAGCAATACATATGACGCCACAATGCTTTTAGAACGTCGGAATACATGCACGAGGCAGTGTCCAAATAAAGCTTTGGTTTATTAGGTTACCTTTATAAGGGCAATGCAAGGGAAAGTTGCAAGATAAAAATAATTTTCCGACACATTTGCACGAAACCTTACCCGTGTTTTTTTTTATGTTTTAATTATGAACCGAGATTTTTCGTAAAACACGGCTTAACTCGGGATTCTAGCAGCACTTTCCAAGTTTGTCAGAAGGCAATCTCTCCTTCTGTAAAAAACTTATGTTTTGCAATATACAGCTTATTGCTGTTCTGTTGCATTATTTTTGTCACGAATGACAGAGGAAAGGTCGACCGGGATACATATATATCTGACTGTCTTTAAAGAGAATATAATTAATGAAAATAAATTAGCAGACCTGTTTTATTAACTGAAATTCATATGAATTTCACAAAATATTCACGATATTTGCATTTAAACTCCATAATACGCATCTTTATACATGCCGTCTTAGCCAAATTCTCTTTACACAACATGATCAATTCCCAAGATACCTAATGTACACATATGACGTCATCGGTGGTAGATTTAAATTAAAATGAAAGATCTGATACGTACAAATTAACAAAATAAAAGAACATATCATTTTTATTAATGTTTACACGTTTCTATTCATTTTCTAGAGATAAATTACATCTCTAAAACCAAAATTACGAAAACGTATTCTAAAATTGACGACACATCGCCTACTATGAATTCATATTACATAACCGATGTAATCAATGTAGAATGCTCTTTATGCTTCCTTAGTACAACTGTACATAAAAAAACGTAATTCACTTGTAAGGTGAGAAATGGGATTTATGTAACACTGGATAAGGACAGTTAGACGTTTGTAAAAGTAACATAAGTAACAGTGCGACATTTAACTCCGGACACGACATAGTCCGGACTTTTTACTACCATTTCTAATTGTCATGTCCAAAAAAAATTTACAGTACCTGGTGGGATTTCTTAGCAGTATCACATATTCTCATGTTGAACTCATAGACATCTCTGCTTTAAAAGATATGAAGTCCTAAATATCAGAATCCCATGGGAGAATGGTGGGATTTTCAGTCCCACCAACTATCCCAC